ACCCGGGATTCAACAAAAGGAAAAGTGATCCCGTTTGTCAGTTTAATACAAAGTATGGGTTGTATCTTAAATTTTAAAAGGACATAGTCGAATATTTTTAAAGGTACAAAACATAGCGTTTCATTGTAGAACAGTAACATAAGTTAGCAGGTAATGTCATAAAACTGTTTTTCCCAGCTATATCCCTTTTTACCTGAAGTATAAGGTAAAAAGTACGAGCTACAAGGTACGACTATCCGAAAATCGTTCACATTTTATCAATGTAAATGAAGCGGCCTTTCCATCAGAGTTAAATACAAAATTTTGTAATTTCTGTGAAAACAAAACTTTCAGTAAATGTACGTGGTGCTTGAAATTTTTATGTTTTGACTGTGTTTAAATATGTTGAAAACTATTTAAATTCGCGTTCGTCCGTGAAATATTATTTCTCGGCCGCGAGTCCCGTATCCGTTTGTGTACGTGACATTCCGGAAGGTTAGGCTGTCGCCGAGTTCGTTCGGCGTACATACAGTTTAAAACCGCGGCCGTTTACGTGTTTTGTACGCTGACCTCACGCGAAGATTCGCTTCAAACGCCATTTAAACGGCATAGTGACGTCAGCATCGAGAGAGAGAACCGTATCGTTTATTGAAAAGAGATCGACAATCAGATTCGACAGCGCCACGTCGCGACGACGAGGCGCGACCGAGTCTTCGTCTGTCGATGCTCGACGATTTAGGAAATTATTCACGAGCCGACTGCCAACGGGAGCGGATCCCAGACGATCTCGCTCCTCAAAGTACGCGCTCCGCCGAGCAAGCAAAAAACTTCTCGGCAAGAAATAAATTTGGACTTTCTGTAAAAGAATTCTCATCGGTGCTGCGATTTGAGATTTCAAAAAAAGAACAATCACTTTAAGCGAAGGAAGTGGTCTAGTGCACGCAGCGCGTGACGTGACCGCGGACGCGAGAGGTTGATTGTACATTGCAGTCGTTGCCGCGACCGCGACGTAAGGGACTCAGGGTGCACGCACCTAGATTCCCTTTAAAGCTATACGGCTTCGGAGCCTCCCAAAGGTCCTACCGATAGTTCGGTACCGCCTCGTGGAGTGTTTACCGTGTAAAGGCCACTGCGAACCCTCTCCGAAAACCCGTCAGTGTACGAGTCGACCGTACACTCAACGGCGGAGTTCGGGTTCAAAGCGCCTCCCTTCCGTCACGCCGCCTACCACATACGGTCCCCGTGAATACGGTCGCCGGGTAGGCTTTATAGTGCGGTTGGACCAGCCCGAGGTTTTTCTGTGTAAATTCGCTTACTGTGCAGTCCCCGATATTAACGGTCGCTGCACAGTAGATATAAAGTGTAGCAGGAAAAACACGCCTCGCGCGACGTTTATACGTCACCCACACGGTGAACGTGCTCACGGGACCCACTCACTTGGAGCCTTACAACCTCCATTTGGTGACCCGTCCGTGGCATCACAGAGCCCCCGACGGAATCGAGTCCAGTCTCATCTGTTCAGGGCAAAAGTCTCGTCGATCGTTTTAATTAATAACGATTCGCGAGCAACAATAAAATACAGTCCACTTGCTTACGCTTAACGACAGCTGATCTCCCCCCTCCAAGCGCGACGATAGTCGCGAGGAGAGCGAGGCGAACAGCTGACGAGCGTGTTTACGATACGTGCAATCACGTATTTAATTCTGGTCGATCCTTTGTTACAGGAATCAAGGGCCAGTACCAAGCCAGGGCAACGCCTATAGAGCAACCCGGCCCAACCAATAAAGAATATATTTATTTTCAATTTTTTATTTTTTAATTTTTGTATTTTTTCTATTTATTTTTAACTTTATAAAATAAAAGGCTTGTCGCTGCGCGACAAGCGGAAAATACAGATAAATTGTGTCAACTTAACTTTCCCTGAACTTTCCCTCATCCGGACCCCGGTTAGAACCCTTAGATTCTAACAGACTGTTTTTGTGAAAAGTACCATCCAGATTCATGTACTTCGTACATTGAAAATAACATATGTTAAATGTAATCGGTTAAATTTAACTTTAAAAAAAAATATTCGAAGGTCAGACAAAAATATAATGTCATATTTAGTGTACGCTTAAAGTATGATTGAAAAAATAAAAAAAAAAGTTCAAGCACGGTTCGAACCAGCAGAGCAGAAGAAGTTCGGAACTTGCAGGCAAAGACCTCATCACTCACGCCACGCTGATTAGTGGTGAACATAGTTCTATTTCTGAAAATAAGTACCTGTAATAACTTTAATAATATCTCAAAGTAAAACCTAACCCAAAACCTGGTACCATTCCAACTTTTCCTTGTTAGAAACGAGTTTTCAATTTGTCTTAGCGAAAATCGCAATCACATTTTGCACATTATTCTAAAACATTTGTGGTATTCGTTTTCAATGCGATTTAAGTAAGCATGTAATGTATAAGATTTCATTTAATGTTTTCTTTTCTAGAGAAGATAGAGAAAAAGTTTATATAATTTTTTTTATATAAAATTTAATTCGTCCTAAGATTTATATGAAACATTTAAAAGATTTTTTATACATTATGTCTATATATCGGAACAACTATGAAACAAGAGGTATAATCTGTAAGGAGTGTATGTGTGTGGCTAGGAGAACCGTTATCGTTTGCGTCGATAGGAGTGTTTAGTCTAAGCTAGAGTAGGTATCGAGTGAGGTGTTTAGGTTTAAGCTGAAATACGTTTTAGAGACTGCGTCTCGAACGTGCGTTTTGTTTAGATCATTATTATAAGATAGGAATAAGGAAGGGTCGACTTTGACTGCAGGAACGTCACTCTGTATCGAACGTTAGTCGAGAGCAATCACAGTTTTACGTTTATGATCTTTTACGTTTACGTTTTGTGTCTTTCTTTTATGTTCTTTATGTTAAATAGTTAGTAAATATTAAATAATATATGTTCGGTAAACGAAAGCTCGCTCATTCCGCTGGCCAACTCGAGTTGTTTCCGGTCCTTTATGTTGCCAGATGCGGGATCGGTACTACGTTGCAAACGTCTTCGAGTCTCTCGCATCTGGCAAATGTCAATGTAAAAGAATAGCATTTTTGGAAAACGAAAGAAACGCGACACTCGAGTTGACCAGGAAGGGCTATATTGTTCCGCGGGTGGTACGGTCGTCGAGGCCAAATGTAGGCACCGACGACAACGGCCATCGCCGACACGCGGAACAATATAGCCATAAAAACAGACGTAGACCAGACGCAACCCCTTGTTGCGTGGATAATCCGGAGTTCCGTTTCTTCCTCGATAAATTAACGCGGCCGTCGACTTGGGGAGGAAACCTCGGCCACCCTCGCCAGCGTGGCCTGGGACTTTCCTCCACCACCGAGGTGAAGGAGGAGCTTGCTGCCAAGCTGGGGCAGGAAAATGGGTCCTCCTCTCCCAAGTCGATGGCCAATCAATCGACTCACGATTCCACAGAGGAATTTGCAAAACACCCCCAAGTGTACCTCTTGGAGGGGATCTAAGCTGAGGAGGAAACGGACTCCGGACACATTGTTCATTCTAGTTTCAGTCGTCAACCGACAAACCAGGTTCATTCTAGTTTCAGTCGTCAACCGACAAACCAGTTTCATTCTAGTTTCAGTCGTCAACCGACAAACCAGGTTCATTCTAGTTTCAGTCGTCAACCGACAAACCAGTTTTCAATTCTCGGTTCAGTCGTTAACCGACTAAGTCTAACAAGTCTAACTAACAAGTCTGTAACAGTACAGCAGTTTTACTTGAGTTGAACGCATTTTGATAAAGTAAGCGCGGGGGAAACAGTTCCTCCCACAGTTCAACGCGCTTGAAAACATTCATACAGTCCACTTTGTTATTATTAAAAATAAACCATTTGAAACCTCTCCAACACGACGACATCGCATCACTCCAATCCGACCTACAACAATTCGGGCGCGTACAATATAATTACATCGTTATGTTTAGTGTTCACGTATTTAAATCCGTCCACACGCCTTTGAAATGAGAACATAAAACTTAAATGTAAAGTTTCATTTAAATTCATTCAGCTATTTATATTCAATCGTATTAATAATATACAAATGTGTGCTCATACATGGGAATAAAAAAAAATTTCTTTTTTTTCAATAATTAAAATATGATCAGGAGGTCTTAAAACGTGTATTTCCGTAAAATAAATTTACAAAATTTTTTTTTCATTTTGGGTACTTTGCTTATGAGCGCCTACATAGGTCGGAAAGTAAAAATGCCTGGGCAGTCGAGAATCTCGGCTCGAGAATCCAAATCGTATGCCGTTGACGGGAGGTCGGACTTCAGTTGTTTAGAGCGAGAAGGCAAATGTGAGCCTTTCTCTCTCGACTCCCACGAGGCGATCCGAAATTACTTCGGGCAGCTTCGGAGAATCGAGAAAGAGGGCATGCGTCAGTTTGCCTTTGTCGACTTTCCGAAACTCCACGAGCTCACGTACGCGTATCTGGCATGTGTGCGTGTGCACCCGACGGTGCTTTTCTGGCATCTCTGCTCCACGGATACTATAGTTTCTTACAATTTTAAACTTTTTAAAAAAAAAAAATGCTAATGCAGATACAGTTTTTCGTAAAAAGAACCATTAAAAAATTAAAGTTTCGGACAAAGCCACTAAAGTAAACGTTTACCAATATTTTAAATCTTTTTTTTCTAATACTGTATAAACAATATTTTTTTAGAAAAATTTGATGCATTAAGTCTACTGGAAAATTTTTCTCTTAAGAGTTAAGGGTTTTTTTTAAATATACGGACACGTAGAAGCTGACTTTACGGTAGGTACAAGTAAAAGCTGATTTATATTGTCTGTCCATATTAATGGTTAAGAAAGAAATAATAATAAAAGTTTATTCAAAATTTCAACTCAAAGTAGGTAATAAAACGTTAATTAAAATGTACACCACTTTCATAATCGTTAACACATATACATATGCATATGTATACATAGAATTTGAACTGGAATGAACTCGCGCGATTGTTACCTCGTTGTCTGGCTGCACGGCTGTCATTCGTTACCTACCTATATGTTAATACAGGTTTAACAAATTTGCACGTTTCTTTTTAACGTTGCACAACAAATTTTTGATAAAGTGTTCCAAATTGATAAATCATAAGTACGGCAACTTAGTTGCAAAGGAATGAGGTAATGGAGTGTCTTGCGTTAATTGATTGTGATGAGAAAACTATAAAGCGACTTCTAGTCGTGCGCGTGAACAGAACCGGCTGTACGCGCCACCACCATATTGCATAAGGCCAAAATTGGCCCGTCAAAAATGTTAAGCTGTGGTAGAGTTATCGGACGATTGCCAAAACTTACGAGGCATTCGCATGTTAATCATTTCTGTCGACCTCTAAAATATATCGGTAAGCATCTACATATTTATTCACTTTGAAGAAAAATTTTTTTCGGCTAAATTGAAAAAGTGTTTTCAATTTTCAGGCTTCATGATACTTTTTAATTAAGTTTTTAATGAATACTATATTGTGTAATAATTATAATGATTAGTAAAATGTCGTAATCATTGTATATACATGTCCCTGTAATGACAATTGTTAATATTCCTTCAAACTTTTGTGCGGCACGTACGATCTGAAGTATTTACCACGCGACATAACCTTAAAACTCGGTTTTTTTATTTTCACTAACACTGTTTATCATTATAGTAAAAGTTCATTATACTGATATTCATCTTATTTCAAAGTACACTTTATAATTATTTTTCATATTATGTATTTATTGTATTGCATTGAAACTTATCTTCCAATATTTTAATTACTACTTCTAATTCTTTATTGGTTTTTAGGAATTGTTAAAGCTAGCAATTCATGGTATAGTAATAATGCATCTGACAAGAAAACATACAAGCTCCCGGGAACCACCATAAAACCTGAAGAATGTGTACCTGAAAGTAGGTATCTCAAATTAAAAAAAACTGTCCCTTTTTGTGAATCTTATCCTAATGCATCTTGTCCGCCATCATGCTATGAAGCTTGTGGAAAATCAGAAGATTCGCAAAAGTGTATAGACAAGCCACCACCATCATCGCCACCATATTGGAAAATATTGGCCACTTTAATTATAGCTGGAGTTACAATATATGCGGTACAATACTATTGATTTTCTGTTGATTATATTTTATATCTTTTGTATTCAAAATAGCTTATAATTATAGTCAATGTGAATCATTATTTAAATATTTCTTTGTTCTGATTTTAATAATTTATTTAAATATATTCCATAGATATCTAAGACAAATTGGTTTACATCAAAAAAATCAGATTTGCAGATGGATGTAAGTAAGAGTAAGTTGAGTTGTAGTCTATCACTATTCCATTTTTTATGACATGTAAAAATTCATAATTAATTATTTTTTATGGTTAATATTTAGGGAAAAAGGATGGAAGAAGACATAGAAGATTATCAGAAAGAATTAAATCTCCTTCTAATTCTAGTTCAATTCCTAAAAATGTACCTTACCTTTTAATAGGAGGTGGAACTGCTGCATTTTCTGCATTTAGGTCAATTAAATCTGGAGACCCTAAAGCTAAGGTATATACTACTATAACAGTAGATTTATTCTGTTATTGCATAATACACATAATTAAATAATGACTTTAGGTTTTAGTAATAACAGAAGAAACAGACTTTCCTTACATGAGGCCACCATTATCTAAAGAACTTTGGTATAACACAGATCGGAAAATAAGTGGACAGTTACTTTTTAAGCAGTGGAATGGAACACAAAGAAGGTAGTTATTTAATAACATTTATCTATTAAATAAATAATTGATATGAAATATTTATTATATTGCAGTATATTTTATGAGCCACAGGAATTTTATTCGAATGTTAATAGTTTAATTGAATCTGATAAAGGCGGTGTAGCTGTAGCTACAGGTTGGAAAGTTATAAAAATTGATGTCCAAACTAAAACTGTGACGCTCGAAGATGGTTATGAAATAAAATATGATAAATGTCTTATTGCAACTGGTATGTGTAATTAAATTGTGTTCAAGATGTATATATATTCTTTAATTTTAACGTTTTTTTGTAGGGGCTTTACCTAAAAATCTTCCAGTTTTTGAATCTATCGAAGATGAGCTCAAAGATAAAATTATAACGTTTAGAACAAAAGAAGATTTTCTTGACTTAGAAAATAATGTGCATAATCCTAAATATAAAAATATAGTAATAATTGGTGGAGGGTTTCTTGGATCAGAACTCGCTTGCTCGCTTGCCCGTAATTGTATGTTTTTTCTTTTCTTTCTTTATTAACATAACGTTTTAATTGTTAATTAATATAAAGAAGTAGCTAATCATACTGTTCTTTAGTACCTGAAAATAAAAGAGTATATCAAATATACAAAGAAAAGTTCATAATGGATCAAATACTGCCACAGTATTTAAGCGAATGGACAACAAACAAAGCAATGTTAGAAGGTGTTCAGTGTATTCCCAGTTCTGAAGTTGAGGACTATTCGTATAAAAATGGACAATTGTCGCTTGTTCTTTCAGAAAATCGTACTGTATGTTTACTTTAAAGGTTCAAAGACTTTATATAAACATTGAAAAGCTGCAAGTAATTATTTTGTTTCTCTTTATTTATATGAAAAGGTCGATGCTGATCAAGTGGTTATAGCAGTAGGTGTTGAACCAAATACTGATTTAGCAATAGCTTCGCATTTAGAAACAGATCCTGATGTAGGCGGTTTCCTTGTAAATGCAGAATTAGAAGCAAGAAGTAATCTTTGGGTTGCTGGAGATGCAGCTTGCTTTTATGATATTCGACTTGGTAGAAGAAGAGTAGAACATCATGATCACGCTGTAATTTCAGGAAGATTAGCAGGAGAAAATATGACTGGTGCAGGTAAGTTAAAATTTATATTATTATGAAAATAATATTACCATTTTTATATAATTATAAAAGTCGCGATAAAAAATAAAATTTATTGAAACATTTTTGTTTTTATTAGGAAAACCATATCTGCATCAGTCAATGTTTTGGTCCGATTTAGGACCAGAGGTTGGATATGAAGCAATTGGTATTGTAGATTCGTCGCTGCCAACTGTAGGAGTTTTTGCTAAAACGTCAGAGTCTATTGCTTCACCAGCGTCCATTTCTAATTCAGATGAAATAACTCGATCTTTGAGTGAAAAGGTAATAAATGAAATACTAAGTTAAAAATCATATTATGTTCTTGTGATTTTTATAACCTTATATTTTCATAATATAGAAAGTACACTCGATGCAAACACAAGATTTAGTAAAATCAGAGTTAGAATCAAGAACAATCATAACCACTGATGAACAAGCAAGTTCAGAAAATAGTAAAACAACAGTCTGCGATAGTTCAAAATCAGCAACAGAGGAACCCAAAAAATATGATGATTTTGGAAAGGGAGTTATTTTTTATTTAAGGGATGATATTGTGGTTGGTATAGTTCTTTGGAATATCTTCAACCGGATGTCAATTGCTAGGCAGGTATGTGTATCGAACATGGAAATCGTAAGAAATAGAGTAAGAGAAATTTTCCCGTTTTATTGCCCCTATTATCAAAAAAACATTTCCTTTGCCAAGGTATCTGTAGAACAGTACAAAAATTACAATAAACTTCATTTGCAGGTCCTTGCCAGGGGCACAAAATATGATGACTTAAACGAAGTAGCAAAACTGTTTACTATTCACAATGATTAATTTCGTTAACACAAGAATATGATGAATGTGTGACAATGAATTGTGTCACTAATATATGTGGGTCTGTATTCATTCTTCTGAAACATTTTTACAAATAAAAAATCTACAACTAATATATTATTCCTGAGTTTAAAAGGTACGACTTGTATAAATATTGCACATATTACGTACAAAGCTTATCCAAAAGTAATTTATAGACAAATGCATTTTTATGAACATTCAGATACTGTTTATTACACTATTAATACATGTAAACTTTATTAAGAGATAAATAAAAAACTGTTTTATTAGTTATTAAATCAAAATTTAATTTTTGTTGACATACATATACATATACATGCATGTACTCAACAGGTACATATGTATGTATATACCTATGAAGAATATTTTATAAAGCAATAAGTATATTGACCGTTACATGCATGTATGTAAGGAAATGTGTTAAAAAATATTATAAAAATGTACCATTTGTATAATATGTAATAATAGACGTTGTTCAAAATTATTAATATTCAACAGATATACATATTTTTACAAAATTTGTTTCTTGTCTTATTACCATAATAGACGGTTTATTACAAAGTGAATTGTTACCTCATACTTTGTTAATAAATGTTCATATTTCATTTATTATTGAATCACATTTTTTTATAGATACTTTTGGTAAAATTTTATTTCCATATCTTTTATCTAATGTATCCATAAATTTGATATAACTATGACATTGATAATCATCCAACGTCTATGTAAAAAATATAAATATATATTTGTGTACATACTAAAGGTTATATACAGGGTGTTCGGCCACCTCTAGCAAAAATTTTAATGAGCGATAGTAGAGGCCAAAATAAGACGAAAATCAAGAATACCAATTTGTTGATGGAAGCTTCGTTAAAAAGTTATTAACGTTTAAAGTGCCGCCCTTACTGAATTTTTTTCTCGAAAATGCGCAAGATTTCGGGGGTATGTCTATTCACCAAAAATGACTGTAATTGAACCCTACAACCGAAAATAATTTTTCCACAACGATTTGCAATTTTTTTTCTCCGTTGAAAAATTTAGGCACCTAATTGGATTTTCAGTAAGGAATTTTTTTCTCGAAAGTGCGTACAATTTCGGAGGTATGTGTAATGATAAAAAATGATTGTAATTGATCCCCGCAACCGAAAATAATTTTTTTAGAACGATTTGAAAAATTTTTTTTCGCCGAAAAATTTCAGCATCTACTCGATTTTTTTTCTCGAAAGTAGATAGGATTTCGGAGGTATGTTTACTCACCAAAAATGATTGTAGTTGACCCCCGCAACCGAAAATAATTTTTCCAGAACGATTTGAAATTTTTGAATTTAATTGTTAATAACTTTTTAACGAAGCTTCCATCAACAAATTAGTATTCTTGATTTTCGTCTTATTTTGGCCTCTACTGTCGCTCATTAAAATTTTTGCTAGAGGTGGCCGAACACCCTGTATATATATGCAATATCTACATACCATATGTTCAAGCCACATCTTGCCATTTGCCACATGTTGCATTATTGTATGCTGACAGTGATACAGAAGTGATACACAGTAGTATATTATGTAATCAGGCGAATATAATACACAAATAGCGAAAAAATGTTTAATTTGAGACCAAGGAAGTAGACCCAAAAAGCATTGAGATATCATTAAGTTACATATTAAGGACCAATCCATTCCAAAAGTACTCTAGATAGCAAAATTAATTGTTACTAAAATTGAGAAATAATTCCTAATGATAAAACCATAATTTATAAAATGTATTAAAAATAATTACATGTGCCAAAATAATTTTATTTGTAATATATACCTTAAGTGCAAATTTTATATGTGGGAATTCTTTACTAACGATGCTTTCTAGCAGTTGCATAAACGTAAATTGAGTAGCACATTCTTCCTTAATATTTTTATCTATGACTTTTCCCCAATTTGACCATAAAAATATGGTTATTGGGAACCGAATTAATTGCACAATAAATAATTTGCATCTGTAATCAGTGATCACAACTTAAAGTATTATCTCAAAGGCATTTCAAAAGGTCGATGATGATAAACAACGTTCTTACACACAATGATGACTAAGTTTTCAACCTGAGACCTCTGCCAATGATGATATTTGACTAGCTAGAGTTACCTTAAATTTTTTTTCATTCGAAAGATACTAACAGTTTTAATATTGTTTTATCGAGATATTTTTATGACTATTTACAAAAAAATCTTGACAAAATATTTTTAATTTTGATGCTAAAAGGTGTATTCGCTGTCATCTGAGGCACTTATTTTCACATATAATACAGATGATAAAAAATTAATTATCAATCAAAAAGTAACTTTATCAGAAGTTTTGTCTCATTTCATGAATACAATACAATTTAGTTAAAAGAATTCAGTATTATAAAATGAATTAATACATACTTTTCTATGTCTCCACTACAAATCATAAACACTGTTGATAAAAACCAATCGAAACCGTCAAATTTTGTTGATCTTTCATATTGTATAAATGCATACGATGCATTTATAAATTCTTGTAACTTTTTTCTCATTTCAACTGTATTTTCCATAACACCATTTTGTTCTGCATAATACAGAGCTAAATTAATTCCATGAATTTCTTCTGCAAACCAAAAATCTGTATTCGATGATACACTTTCTTGCCACTGAAAATTTTCTCCCCTTTCTGTAGTGGGAATTGCTTTCTGCATTTGATCTACTAATTGAATCAGTACTGTGTTCTAATGATCAAGAAATTTGAATATATAAAACCTTAATAAGGAAATGATAAAATTAGAATAACTTAATATATATATATAACAAAAATATTTACATTTATTGGATCAGGTGATTCTTTATATGCTTCTCTGACTTGCTGAACCCAATTACTATCTAACAATCCAGGCTTATCTTCCTGAAGCAAATTTTCTAGTTTTGTATTACATTCTGTTTTTGAGAAGAATGCGTTTTCATTATTTAATTTTGGGGGTGGTAATTTTGGTAAATCGTATTCTTCTGATTTTGAGCTTTCTTCATCATCCATGCTTTTAATGAAATATGTTTTTGATATAATTTTATGTTGTATTAAAGTATAATCGTCAATATATTCTGTATTTATATCTTCGTTTTCAGTTTCTTGTGTATTCAAATTTTGAAGTTTTAACAAAATGCTCTAAAATACATTTGTGTTATGAAAAAAATACAAATTAATTAAAATACCTTTTTAAAATACATTTGAGCAATACCTGAAAGTTTAATAATTCAATTAAATATACATAAATATTTAAATTCCAAATTACGGTATTTAATGATGAGAGTCCTAAGTAATGATAATTTGACTTAGGATTTATTGAGTTTTTAAATAGTTCAAGTAAATTAAGTGGATAATTCTGTTCCTCGTTACTATACGATTCTTTTGCATTCGTCATAAATGCAGAAAAACCTAACAACATTTTAAATATACAATTAACATTAATAATTAATATCAAAATGAAATGAACTTTCAGCATTATACTTACATTTAAAATTAAGGGAAAATAATGTTAATACATGAAAAAATGTCTGAATATTTTCATGATTCCATGGATCGAAAAAATAATGCGGATCTTCTAATATGATATTTGTTTGTGAAAACAAAGTTGATAAAACATGGGGTGCAAGATTAGCAAGTAGACTATATCCCAAACAAAAAAATGCAGCAGATGATATAAAGTTGATTACTTCCATCGATGACCATGACATTCTTAATGGTGCAATAGATCCCTCGATTAATTCCTGAAATACTGATGATTCCTGAACAAGAGCTTTCAATCCAAATGGTATAGATACTATTTTAAGTAGTAGTGTATTAACTGCACTGCAAATAAAATTTTGTTTTTTACTATTGTATGCCATTAATGGATAAAGGTTATCAAAGAATGATGAAATTTACCTATTTATTTGTTGTGCTTTGTTTTCATTTTCAAAATAAGATTTATCCAATTTATTATAAAAATATGATACAGCTGGATAAAATTTCTTTTCCATTTTATGCTGTATAATTTCATAAACATCAAATATGTCAAATAATTTTTCTATTACTTTGAATAATTTAAGAAGATATTCAACATTCATTATAGAGAAAGGTTGCTTCAGCATATTTGATGCTATTACTATAATAAACATGGCTGGACACTTTATCACATTATTTTCAAAATTAACTGTATGTTCTTTACATTCTGAGGTAAGAAATAAAGAACCATCTGTTGTATTTAGCATCTGTAGAATAATGTTTAATGTGTGTGGCCATATTTTTATGTTATTTTCAGAAAGCGAAGGTAAATGACATAATGCAATGTGATAAAACTCAAAGTCATATAAAATTGTTGGTTTATCTAACATAATTTGTAGAGCATAACAAGAGACATTATATACACCATTCAGTGTATCTACAGATAATTTATTCAGAGCTTTCAAAGAAGCCGATAAGAATTCAGAAACTGAAAATGGTCTTTCAAATGTACTTTCGACTAAGAGTCTCCTGCCTGTTTCATAAGCACAGAGCTGCGACACAAAACATAAACAGTGTAGATAAGTTACTGTTTCTATCATATTTCCATTAATGATAACTTCCATTGGATCATCATAAATAGAAACTGTTACAGAATGAGGAGGATCTTCCAATCCTTTTTGTACATAGTACATTATATGTTGCAACAAACCTGGCGATTTGCCTAATGCAGTTAAAAACATTTTTCTGGTAGCGAGGCTAACCACCCACTTTTTACTCCAGTCAGCACGTGGTTCTACTATGGAAATAATGTTCAATATATTTAATGTCTTAGGTTGCATTGCATTACCAAATTCGTGTGTGCTTAAAAAACTCATAAATTGTTCTATTAATTCTTCTGTAGTTTTATCAGGATTTCTTGCACTTTTTAGCTTCTCATCATGGTAACGAATTATCAAATGTATAATACGAAACATTCTTTCATGCAAGAAAAATTTAAAATTAATTCCAGCAATTAGAGTAGGTAATATTTCAAATATCTTCTGCGATTGATATTGAACATTAAAAGCATCTAATAAGTTTGTATACACATCGTGTGGTTGTGAACAAGACAATAATTTTGCATGCACTTGTAAACTAGCTTCAAAAATAGGTCTACTCTCATCTGTAAGACTATCTAGTAAAGCCTTTTTAAGAAAATTCCACACTGAATTATTATTTATATTTGATAGATCATTTTTTAATAAAACTTCGTAACCAGCTAATCTAACATGAGCAGGTTTATCACGATTGATTTTTTCAACAATAACATTATAATATTCATCATTATTCAAAGAAGAATACCAATCTTCACTTGTTTGATCACTAAAGCAAGAAAGGGATGATTGAGGTCGAGATTCAGAAATCACAGTCGATGTAGATCTTGAAGTAGATTGTTCAACAATTGTAGCTCTTATACAATTCAAAAAAACAGACATTTCTTTTGAATGCATAATTCTTCGAGCTATATCGGTACTGTCTTCATTTTCCTCCAATGATTTTTGTATACTAATTTCAAACTCTTTCTTCAAACACTTTTTTATCCACTTTTGGAGATTGGGAGAAATACTATTTTCCATACTCGAAAAATGATTTAAATGTATTAAATCATAGTGCTTTTAATTAAAAGTAGTAACTAAAGGTAAGTGAAGCATGTGTATTAAAGTTCTGTTTTGCCTCAGTTTCTATGACTACTGGTAGGGTAGATACAGATATTTTAGAATAGTATACTTTATGTAGTATAAAAAGTGTCATTTCTTTCATGTTTATAAGGCATGCTTTGTATTCACAATTGTTTCATAGCGAAATTGTTGCAAGTGTTACGATACTTAATAATACTTGACAATAATTTTGTACAATATTTATAACTAGGTAAAAATTTATAGATATACAGATAATATAATAAAAATCAATATTTTTATATATGTACAAACGCAGACTTTTACAATAATCTACAATAGCAAAATGTTACTTTTAACGCGTAGCTACTATAACATTTAGAGACTTTGCTCGCAAGGCATGAATTCCTCCTTGTAAAGTACACACTCCCACAATTCCACACTTTACAAGGAAATCTGCAAACTATAGAAGATATTTTTTAATTTCAATACTGTATACAGATAATAAACAATTTTATTATACAATATTTACCAATGCATTATTTTGATCATGAGGCCCAATAATTACAACAATACTGTTTCTGTTTCCTACAAGTGGTTTGGCATGTGGTCCAAGAGTTTCAATTTGAGTTTGAGAAAGTTGTACGCTTGTAAATGGAATGTTAATACTTCCTACCACAGCGCCTCTTTCAAATCTGGAAACAAATATAATTACAAGTAAATTGTTAAGAAATAACAAGTGACAAATTAATGCCAATAATTAAAAATAATTTCAAGCTGAATTATTTTTTTACTACAAATAAGATACTTACTGTATATTATTGCGCACATCAACGACTATTAACCTTTCAGAATTACTGTCCAACAAATTCAAAAAGTCATCAACGCTAATTCTCGGCATTCTTTCGGTCCCTGGTTCTAATTCCGGCCAAATCACATTCTACAATACAATTCTATATTTAAACTTTTAAAGACATTAAGTAATATCTATATATAAATGTGTTTTTATACCTTTGGCTGATTAAACTGATGTTTTCTATAAGTTATACTAGTTGGTGTAAATTGGTACATTATCATAGAATCTTTGACACATAATTCTATATCTATTTCAGGAAGATCAGAGAATAAAAGAATACATTCGTTAAAACCTGAAGTTAAAAGCGAGTCGCGCAGTTGTTTTAATATTGCTAAGCCGACTAAAAGTGGAAATGAAGAATCTCCTAGTAAAAGTTTATCCCATAAATGCAGTATTTTGTGAAGTGGAAATACATCTGAAACAAAGAAACTTCTTAAATAGATATAGCGTTATAAGAGTAAATAGTTTCCTTCACATAGTACTAATATTAGTAATGTACAACTTACGTGAAAACATCGTTAAAAACCATGGTATAGCAAACAATTCGGGTACAAAGTTAATCGATCTGAGATGATTAGCCAAATGAGGGTCGTGAAATGCGATAATTTGTGAAAATTTTCCTAAATATTCTTGGATAATGGCAGAATTATCTTTCAGAAAGAATTTATGAAGATATTTTGGTATAAATGCAGATAGACATTCGAATGCCCTAGCTGAAATGACAATATTATGTATTAAATTTATAAATAATATATTCTAATTTAGAAATAAAATATTTAGCACATTACCTTCGTTATCAAAATTAAGATAAAGAAATGGAGCAGTTAACGAATCTAATCCCTGCCAATAAACATAATGAGGATTATTCCGAACCCATGCTTTCAGTAATCTTTGTAATCTCTCATGACCAGCACCAGATGACAATAATTCACTGTATTGATGACACCTCGGTATGTCTACCTCTATCTATGAAATTATTAATAATTTGAAGTATGATAGTAAGCAACATAATACAAATCTATTAGTTAATTACCTGTCGATCCGTATGGGTGGGTGTTTCTTTATCAAGCATATCATAGCGTTTTTGAATGTCACCAGTAATACCAAGTAAAGCTGCCCAAACAGCTCCTCTAACAGGCGGTGGTATATCTTTGTGAGCTTCTTCTATAATTGCTTCCCGGGTAATTGGATAAACCTAAATTACAAAATTATTTTCGTGAAATATGGAGGATATCTAAAGTGAGCCTAAGCCATCATTTCCGAATTCAGCGATTGTTCAACAAACTTTTACATTAAATTTAGTTAGTATTTTTTATTCGTATAGATTCGTCTGTATAGAAGCTAAAAATCCAGATAATGAAAATCATAGCATTAAAAAAAAATTAGAGGTCATAAAATTACGCTAACTAAAACATATCCCCCTTAAAATAAATTAAGTTTGATCTGAAAAATTTTTAAAGAAACGACTTGATACAGAGATAACAGCATGGAAGGATTGAACATACTATACAGAGTGTTTGGTCACGCCTGGGAAAAATTTTAATGAGATTCTAGAGACCAAAACAAGAAGAAAATCAAGAATACCAATTTGTTGATCGAGGCTTCATTAAAAAGTTATTAACGTTTAAAGTTCCGCTTGTAGAACGGCAATCTGCGAACAGCTGCGTACGCGTGATAGAGATTCCCGCACAGAAAACTGTAAGGCTGTCGATACATCACTAACAATAAGTTTCTCATGCTGAGTGAGAACCACTATCGTGCGCACGCAGCTGTACGCAGGTTGCCTATCTACAAGCGCAAATTTAAACGTCAATAACTTTTTAACGAAGCCTCAATCAACAAATTGGAATTCTTGATTTTCGTCTTATTTTGGCCTCTAGAATCTCCCATTAAAATTTATCCCAGGGATGACCGAACACCCTGTATAGGGTATTTTACCTAATTTGACCACTTTAAATATATCACTTATTTTGTATGATAGAAAAAAATGTCAGGGGCAGAAAGTATTCTGTTCAAAGGCATCAATACGGTGATGGGCCGAATTTTTTTCTCAAGGTCATTTTTTCGTGTTTTCAAGGCCATCGTATTTTTTTTATTTTTTATTTATTTATTTATTTATTTTTTTTTAATGGAACTGCGTATTTTCACTACAACAGTTTTATAGCTTATAAAAAAACGAATCCAACGAGGTGCAATATGTGGACCTTCACGTAAAACAGTCTTAAGTTAAATCTTTATTTTAGGGTTTCAAAATGTGCATCATGAACCTGGATACATTTTTGGAGGCGGTAAATAAATTCTTGCTGTACATTTTTAAGTTGTTCTACAGCAATTGATCTACATTCATGTAGAACCCTTTCTTGCATGTTTTCTGCTGTTGTGGGAACATCAGTACACTTTAATTTTTAAGTGACCCCATAGAAAGAAATCAAGTGACATAAGATCCAGCGATCAAGTTGACCAACAAATTCATGCACCACGTCCTATCCAACGATCGGGAAAAATTCTGTCTAATACGTTGCGCGTGACGAGTGCATTATGAGCTGGACAACCGTCATGCTGAAACCACATCCTTGACCGATATTGTAACGGAACGTCTTCTAGCAATATAAATAATTCATTTGTCAAAAAATTTGCACGGTTTTGACCATTTAATGTTCCTTCGATAAAGAATGGGCCAATAACTCGATGATCGACCGATACCGCACCACACATTTACACTCCATGGACGCTGATTCTGAACTTGCCTCAGCCAATGTGAGTTCTCCGCAGACCAATAATGCATATTATGCTTATTTATTTGCCCGTTATTCGTGAATGTGGCTTTATCAGTAAATAACGCATAATCAAAAAAATGTTGGTTATGGTACTGTACTTGATTCAATGACTAGTTACAGAAAACACGTCGTTTTTCAAAATCGTTATCATCAAGTGCCTGATGTAACGAAACGTGGTATGGATGAAATTGATTGCAATTCAAAATTCGCCACACGCTTGTACAAGACAAGGCAGACTCGGACGCAATCTGTGAGTAACTAACATGAGGATGCCTGATTCAGTAAATAATTTTATTATACGGTCAAAATTTCGTCTGGAAGGAACGCAACGATCAGGATGTCTTTCTTCGTACAACCGTTGTGCATGCGTTGAATTCCACCCTGCTTCTCCGTAAATTAAAATCATTTCAACTTTTTCTGCTGTAGTCTATATGATGGATAGTCTTATTGCACTGATACCGATACCGCAGCTTGTTGGGCTGATACTGATAATAATGCTTGTAAACATACTTCAACCGATGAAAGGAGAATACAGATGTCTGTTTACAAGCACTAAAAACAATTACACGGTACACTGTTTCAATGAAATTGAAATTCCTTCATTTATCGTCCCCGAACGCGTACTGAAGTTACTGACAAACGTTTCATAATTTCCTCGCTAAAGGTCACGTGAAGGTAAACATATTGTACCTCGTTTTTTTATAAGCTATAAGACTGTTGTAGCGAAAATATGCAGTCCCACTCAAAAAAAAAACGATGACCTTGAAATTTCGCAAAAATGACCTTGAGAAAAAAATTCGGCCCATCACCGTATTGGCGCCTTTGAACAGAATACTTTCTCGCCCTGACATATTTTTCTATTATACAAAATAAGCGATATATTTAAGGTGGTCAAGTTAGGTGAAATACCCTGTATATTAAAAAATTGTAATAAAAATTTATAGATACCCAAAAATATTATACATTTGAAATTATGCAATTACCTGCAGTAATCTATCATATAAAACAATCCTATAAAATTGATATTCTGTATCCCTCTCTCTTATAATTAAAGGTAATTGAGAGGCAGCATCTGTTAAATCTTCTTGCGATTGAACACGCATTCTGTAAAAACATTAGCGAACAATTTGTAAAAGTTGAAAAAAAACTAAGTTTTATACTTTGTTACGGTTATACTTACCGATTTGTTAACCATGGATAATTTGCTATGTACGGAATATGAGACAATCGTTGACGTAGTGTATCAAGTGGAACTTTGACTACACGCAAATCGAGTAAACCAGCACTGTCTCTTCGACCAAACATTTGACCTAAAAGTATAACTAAACTAAAAAATAAAAAAAAAATTAAATCATATTTCAGTTGCATAGAACACAAAATTTATAACATTTTCTATAAATACTTTGGAATAGATAAAATAGGTGGTCTTGATCTGATCAGTCCTTGTTTTTTCAATTCCACTGTAATGTCTCCACCCGCCAGCTGCCATAAATAGTACAATTCATCCATTTTCCTAACAATAACATTCTTATAAAGATTTTCTTTTTTTTTTTTTTCCTTTTTTAATAAAAACTCTTCAAATATTGGCAGTTTTAACAATTCCTCTGGTGTTCGACGTGCGGAGGGTTGAATTTGAAGACATGAATCTATAAACTCTTTTACTTTATCAGGCAATTCCTGATACAATAGTGAATTATTAATACTTAAAGAATTAATAAAAAGTTGTAATATTATAATAAGGAAAAGTACAACCTTGTAAATATTATAACAATTAGTTTCTCTTGCAAGGCGTTCAAATACAGAAGTTTCACAGTGTATTAAACTAAGAACTTTTCGCAAACATTGAGACAATTTCACGCCTGGCCATATTTGTCTTCCAAATAATAATTCAGCAATAATCATACCCAAGGACCAAGAATCTACTTTTGGACTACTAACACCAGGACTTAAAAATACTTCAGGTGCAGTGTACTTTGGATAACTATAAATAAATAACGGCTATTGTATTATATATTAATACAAAATTTTAAATTTATTACACTACATGATTCGTGTTCCGTAAAATACAAAATAAAGTATATGATGAATGCCAATGAAAAAAATCATGCATCAAGAATCTTTTTGGCAAATATTAATATTAATGTATTTATTCAATTAATTAACACTGTTACAATTTTGCTTTTGTATAAGTTGACATACATTATGTTAAATATGCAAGGCATTATGAATGATCTTTAACTGATTTCAATTGTCAATGTAAGACAACTTAAAAACAGGAATCATGGAGAAAAAGAGTAAAATAAAGGATTACCTACAACGATAAATGTTAATTCAATTAAATAAATGAGTTATTAATACAATAACGAAATTGGGTTTCCAAAGAATACTATGTCATTATCTAAGGGATAATAAATTTTTTATTTATACATACCCAATAGGGAAAGATACATTCTTTCCATTATCTGTCATATAATATAAACCAAAATTGTATAACTGTACATTTCCACTCTTATTAATGAGTATATTTGCAGGGTTTAAATGTCTATGCACTAAGTCTAATTTGTTCATTTTTTGCAAACCTAATAAGCATTGAAATGTTATTTTCACAATATCATCTATGATTAAGTTTTCCTTAGTGCTCAATGGATCTCCATTGTATTCTGTAACCACCACTATCCTCTCTATACAGAAAGAAATTTACATTATAATACTAATTTATAATAGATTCATCAAATACTAAAATCAATAATTCAGTATTTACCATGTTTACTTCTAATTATATCAAGATAACTTGATAAATTTTGATCGTGTATAGTTTTCAGGAACTGAGACTTGCCATATATGGTTATTGAATTTGGTGTAAGAGGTAGACCATTACTGCCACAAACTTCAACTGGATGACTTTGTGCAAAAAATGTTATTCCGCCAAAACAACGTTCTTCATTTTCTAAAAGTGCTGGACACATTTCTAATTCTGCAAATTAAAATCATCATTCTTTTAAATAGTTTTAATACAATAAAAAATACTTTGTATGTAACAGTTTGACTAACTATATCATTATTAATCCTTAACAAATAACTTGAATATCTTCTCTATGGGGACACAAAGAAATTACAGGTGATTATATAAGACAAAATTTCATAAGTGCAAAATTTAAAAAAATATGTTTCTTTCAAGTTTTTCATTCACATTGTATGAAATAACAAATAAAAAAATGAAAAATTTACCCAAATATATGTAAGAAAATATTAGTTAACTGTACATAAGCCTTCACAATAGTGACACTTCCTTGTAACAGAAATTATTGATAAAGAGCAATTTTCTTTTAAATTGGGTATATCGTAGCGCCATATGATGTAACATGATACTTGTGTGTTCAAACTGAAAAACTCCAGATGAAAAATGACAAACAAATTATTGCGTTACTTACTCTATCAAACATATATTACATATTGGTGATTGTTTCTAATATTATTGCACACTTGAAAAATACAAGATGTCAAAATTCGATTTATGTTTTTCATGAATAAGTTCTATAAGATTGTAAGGCAAATATCTGTCTTATAAAATAATTGATTCCAATATTATACCATTTAATTTGAAGCAGTTCATTTTTCAGTATCTCAAAAGAAAATGTATTCAAGTTGCTAGTAGGTAATCAGAAAAATGCCTTCGAATACAAAGGGTTAAACTTTGTATTAAGTAATGTACCAAAATATCTAAATACAATTTAAAACATTCTTCTCGTATTATGCTGTAGATCACAGAAAATTAATGTATGTTTTACGTACTTAATTTATTAATAGGTTTTTATGTAATTCCAAAGCATAGGCCAGTAAGAATTTATATTATTTATCTCAAAATAATGTTTATAATAACCACTAATTTATAAAAGGAATACGTTCGAAGACTTTTTAGGTTTAAATTTTCTCATGATCAAATTATTTAATATGACCATTCGTAAAATCATTTAAATGATGAATTGGTCTATCCGGTTTCGTTTATAGCAATAGATGGCAAACAAATCACTTTGACAGAATCTGACGTTTTATAGTATATTATGTCATAAATAGGGATAGGGATGTTTGGAAATCGATACCATCGAAACCATTGATACTTTTTTTATGAATTTCCTCGTTTAAAACTATAACTACAGTTTATAAACTGTGCTATAATCATGAACACAGCTACTTTTACACGGTTTATACAGGTTTATAAAGTTAATTGTTTATCTATTATTTAATGGAACTTTGTAACACAATGAATTGATATACCAACCTCGTAAAATATCAATGGTTTAGAACAATCTTTTCGCTAAAAGAACGGCGGCTTTAGAAATTATAGCGAACCAAACTAATGAAATCGATAAGGCTAGCAAACGTTTAATGAGAGATTCTAGAGGCCAAAATAAGACGAAAATCAAGAATACTAATTTGTTGTTGATTGAAGCTTCGTTAACAAGTTATTAACGTGTAAGATTCCACCTATAGAACGGTAATCTACGACCAACTGCGTGCGTGCGATAATAGTTTGCAGCAGTGATGCCAGAAAAGCACCGTCGAGTGCACACTCAACATACCAGATACGCGTAAGTACGTGAGCTCGTGGAGTTTCGGAAAGTCGACAAAGGCAAACTGACGCATGCCCTCTTTCTCGATTCTCCGAAGCTGCCCGAAGTAATTTCGGACCGCTTCGTGGAAGTCGAAAGAGAAAGGCTCACATTTGCCTTCTCGCTCTTAACAACTGAAATTCGACCTCCCGTCAACGGCATACGATTTGGATTCTCGAGCCGAGATTCTCGACTGCCCAGGCATTTTTACTTTCCGACTTATGTAGGCGCACATAAGCAAAGTACCCATAATGAAAAAAAATTTTGTAAAATTTATTTTACGGAAATACACGTTTTAAGACCCCCTGATCATATTTTAATTATTGAAAAAAAGAAATTTTTTTTTATTATTCCCATGTATGAGCGCTCATATGTATATTATTAATACGATTTTTGAAAATCAAAATACTTTCAGATTGAAAATTAATAAATTAAAATGAGATTCCACTTTTTACCAGTATTGTGCACGCTGTGGCATTTTTCAATAAGAAGAGTTCTTACTTTTATAACATAAACAAAACAGTAGAATTAATAATTGCAGAAATTAATTAATAATGATTTTCCTCGATTGTTTTGAGATAACCGTATCAATTTGTTATGACGAACTAAATAGAACTAACTAGAAACAAAGGAAAGGTGATCCCGTTTGCCAGTTTAATACAAAGTATGGGTTGGATCTTAAATTTTAAAAGGACATAGTCGAATATTTTTAAAGGTACAAAACAGCGTTTCATTCTAGAACAGTAACATGAGTTAGCAGGTAATGTCACAGACGAGATATATGAATAGACGTTTCAGTTTCACCTTATGGACTTTCGCGGCCGAATCTGACTGTCATACCGACCTGAAAATTCGTAGCTGATTTTAGCGGCCTCTTCTCATGGATGGCGGTTAGTTGAGAAACTAGGCACTGAATTAGTATTGATGGGCAGCCAGCTGAGTGTGTACGTAAATACATGTGAGTTGATTATGGGAGGGATTGGAAAAGACAGTGGAGTATTATCAGACGGCAGACCCGTGCCGAAAGGGAACTGCCCCACCACTCACACACACTAATGCCAACCACCTTGTATATGAGTTCTGGCGTTTCGTATAGCTTCGTAGATTCGAGAAAGGCGGCGAATGTCAGTCTATCCTTCTTGCTCTCAACACAGCTGAAATTCGATCTCGCATATTCTCGAGCCGAGATTCTCGACTGCCTAGGCATTTTTGACTTTCCGACCTGTGTAGGCATATACAATGTATAAGCAATATACCATAATGAAGAAAAAATTACAAAAATTTGTTTTTACGGAAATACACGTTTTAAAACGATAATATTTTATGAACATATTTTAACCCTTTGCACTCGGTTGTCCCCTCTGAGGGGACATGAAAGTTTATTAGTGATTAAGGAGAATGAACTGATTTCACCGCAATTTTTTAAGAAACACATGTTTTCCTGTACTTTCCTATTAAAATGGGAAATATTCTATTAAAATGAGAAATATATCAGCCGTTTTTACGTTGGGAGTGGAAGGATTGTCGATGATGGTCAGAGGCGTATGGTCGGATTCAAACACGTGGACAATAAACGTAACTATATAAACTATATTATTTAATGTTTACTAAAATTATTTAACATAAAGAACATAAAACGTAAACGTAAAAAACTATAAACGTAAAATCGAAACTTCATTCAAAGTCGAACCATTCCTATTGCTATCTTCGTTATAATCTAAATAAATTAACGTTCTTTGTCGGACAATAGAATGAATAATAAGCTACATATTCCAAATGTAGGCCAAAGAAACCGGGACTGCATTATTTGTTCCGACAGGAAAACACCAGGAGAAAGACGTCAAACAACATTTATTGTGAAACATGTATAAATCAACCTGCTATGTATATTGGGAATTGTTTCAGAATTTACCATACCATAGAAAATTATGAGAAATAAATTTTTATTTTGTATTGTAAATATGTGTTCTTCAATGTCCATAAATACATATAAACCAAATTTCAACACAATGCCTTATTTGGTTCCAAAGTTGTACCATATAATATCACGACTCAAGGGTTTTCGTTTTCGCGAGAAAGTAGCGTTGAGTTGCTGATAGCTAACGTCCGAAAAAGTGCCGAGTGCAAAGGGTTAACTATTAAAAGACATTTTTTTATAACAGCTGTGCTTAAAAACTCGATTTGTGTAGCCGGCCGCCTAACGGCGGCCACGCATTCATTTTCTATTTCAATTTTCTTTATTGATATTATCAGAAGTGGGAAAGATTTCTGCCATTATTTCGACAAATTTAATTATTAGATCATTAGCATGATATTGTCGACGGAAGAAGAATTCACCTAAATAGCCTACATAATGTATTTGGCGAGTTCCATACTTCAGAATATTCGAACCTTTGACAACAATGCAGAACTAGATTTAGCTCGACACATTATACATTATTTGTCGTCGGTTGTCATGCCGACTAATACAAACAAGAGAAAAAAGCAACGATCGTGGACTGATGCAATACAGAGCCACAGATATGTACATATAGACAGAATTCATTGTAGTAGTAGCGATCTTTTTGAAGAAAAATCTCGGAAACTAAGGCCGAGCGGCGGTTATATGTATAGGAAAAAGTTGCTCAAAATGTTGATTTCTACAACATATTCAAAAATCATCGAAATCGGTGAGACCCGGCCTTTTCTAAATAATTACCTCATTTTCTTTCAATAATTCTCCATTGCAAAATATCTACAGTATTCTTACATTTTTTTATATTTTAAAATTTTCCCATGTTATTAGAAAGTAGATATACAACGAAAGTTATACAATTTATAGTTCCTAGCATGTATAACATGTATATGTATATAACGCATGGTCGCTTCGTATGGAATTTGAATGTATGAGAATTTGCGGTGTACGTATCAATGAAATACATCCTTATGAATTTTAATAATCTTGAAATTTTTAAATACTCTAAATGGATTGATTTCTCCAATGAAATTAATCGATTAATGTCCAATGATGGACCCTACAGCTTTAATTCCGTTAAAAAATAATAAAATTTATGTAGTTTTATTTTCTGTCTCACTTCCTCTTGTGTTAAATTCTGAATCTGTTGATAACGTAGCGAGTGACACGAAAATGGTAATGGGGTCCCGGGACCCCAGAAACTCCGGCCGAAAAATTACATTACGTGAAACGTCTATTCATATATCTCGTCTGTGTTGTTATGTTTTCACTGTTTTTACGAAAAGTACCATCCAGATTCATGTACTTCATACATTGAAAATAACATATGTTAAATGTAATTGGTTAAATTCAACTTTAAAAAAAAAATATTCGTAGGTCAAACAAAAATATAATGTCACATTTAGTGTACGATTAAAATATGATTGAAAAAATAAAGAAAAAGGATTTGTTTTGGCAGGGTTAGAGAACCTGCACAGCAGAAGAAGCTCGGAACTTGCAGGCAAACACCTTATCATTCACACCACGCTGGTTGTTGAATGTATTTCTATTTCTGAAGATAAGCACCTGTAATAACTTTAATAATATCTCAAAGTAAAACCTAATATAAAATCGGGTACCATTCCAACTTTTCCTTGTTAGAACCGAATTTTTCGTTTTCGTACGATGTAAGTAAGCATGTAATGTATAAGATTTCATTTAAATTTTTCTTTTCTAGAGAAGATAGAGAAAAAGTTTATATAATTTTTTTTACATAAAATTTAATTCGTCCTAAGATTTATATGAAACATTTAAAAGGTTTTTTATACATTATGCCTATATGTATATCGGAACAACTATGAAACAAGAGGTATAATCATTATTATCCATAGACTGATTATAGTCAAAGTCTAACCGGACTTTGAAATGAGAACGTAAAACTTAAATGTAAAGTTTCATTTAAATTCATTCAGCTATTTATATTCAATTGTATTAATAATATACATATGTGTGCTCATACATGGGAATAAAAAAAAATTTCTTTTTTTTCAATAATTAAAATATGATCAGGAGGTCTTAAAACGTGTATTTCCGTAAAATAAATTTTACAAAATTTTTTTTTCATTATGGGTACTTTGCTTATGTGCGCCTACATAGGTCGGAAAGTAAAAATGCCTGGGCAGTCGAGAATCTCGGCTCGAGAATCCAAATCGTATGCCGTTGACGGGAGGTCGGATTTCAGTTGTTTAGAGCGAGAAGGCAAATGTGAGCCTTTCTCTCTCGACTCCCACGAGGCGATCCGAAATTACTTCGGGCAGCTTCGGAGAATCGAGAAAGAGGGCATGCGTCAGTTTGCCTTTTTCGACTTTCCGAAACTCCACGAGCTCCCGTACGCGTATCTGGCATGTGTGCGTGTGCACCCGGCGGTGCTTTTCTGGCATCTCTGGGTATAAGATTATTCTTTGTATTTTTTTTTCTGTTAGGAACGTAACTATTTGCACTAAACGAAAGCAGTAAATAAATAAATTCATCTAATTCTAGTATACCACTGTTACGTCCCGAGGTCGCGGTTTAGGGAAAAAGGACGGTGGGTTGGTGCCCGTGGAGCGCTGAACCGCTCTGCCAGTGTGGCCAGATCTGGCACAATTGAGTGCATCGAAATCGACA